TAAAATTAATTAGGTTATGTTTTGCCTCTGCTAGGTGAAAGTTTTCATGCAAGATAATTACCTCGCCAATTGGATTCAGGTACTTGACATTTTAGGGGGTTGTATTCATTTCGGATTCTTTTAGTTTTTTCGGGAGAGAATGAATAATAGAATGAGACTAGGCCACAATTTTGGCAAACTACCAAAATTTTCAATGATTGAGACTTGCATTGTGCTTATGAGAGGTTTTGTGTTCTATATCGATAGGCATTGTTTGACTCACTGCCTCTGGAGGATTACAAGAACGGAACTTTGGTCTTAGGAGGTGACGGTAGGTACTTTAACCTGGAGGCTGCACAGGTATCTAATTTGAGCCGGATCAACTAACTGAGTCATTTGTTATGGCCTTTTTACGAATGATGTTGTGAAAACTCCAAAATGCAGATTATTATTAAAATCGCCGCTGGCAATGGTGTTGGAAAAATCTTGGTTGGCAAGTGAGTTTCTTTGTTAAATTACTTTTAAGTTCTATGAGAATGTGATGGAGTCGAGACCGCGATTGCTTTTCTGGACAAATATGATAGGCTTCGAGTGTAGCTCGATTGTTCGCATTTCCTATTTTCTTATTTTACTATTTATGATGGTTATTTAAATAAAATATCTTGCACCATGTTAGGCAAGATACTTTTTAGAATAGGACTCTTAGTATTAAAATAACAGATGTTTCTAGGGATTGGGCAGATTATTGAATTCTGAAACAGTTTATCGTATTTCTTTCAAGAGAGTATCTCGTGTTCTTCCCTTTTCGCATCACGTTCTACATCAGAATGTATTGTGCTTCTATACATTTTTCCACTGATTTGTTTTTGTGAATTTCTTAATTTGTCTGTTTGGCTAGAGGTAATTTCTACTTCCGTTTGTTAATATTACCAGGAAATTATTTGTCCAGACATGTCTGTTGGAAGTATTTGAAAATCTTTGTCTGGATGACAATAAGTAGAAAGATAAATTATTTGGCTGCAGGGATGGTATAATGTCTACACCAGCTGTTTCTGCTGTAATAAGGAAGAGAAAGGCAATATATCTATAATCTTTTTTTTTTCTTTTCAGATATTCAAACTTTTTTCTATGAGCTATAACCTGAATCTTATGATTAATTCTCATAGGCTGATGGTGGTTTTATAATGAGTGCAAGCCATAATCCCGGTGGTCCCGATTATGATTGGGGAATCAAGGTTTATAATGGCTCTTACTAGTCATAAATCAGCTTTAGTTATTGCAATTTTGCACTACTATAGTTTAATGTTGTTTAATTTTTGCTTATACAGTTCAATTATAGCAGTGGTCAACCTGCTCCCGAGTCAATAACGGATAAGATTTATGGAAACACTCTTTCTGTATGTATATTTTATTCGACCATCTTTTTGTACTTCATACCATCATATCTCTTTGCCGACCAGAATATGGACCACTTTTCAAATATATTATTCGTCAATAGGAAAAAGAAATGATTCAAAACAATGATATTCAAAACAACTTGTTCGTTATATTACATTAACACTAAGAAACAAATGATAAGATTGTAATGAGATCGACTTCTGGAGGACATTTTTAGAAAATATTGATATTTTTCGTATTGTGGGGTAATAAAGTGGTATTATTTCCAACTGGCCAGTGGTCAGTCTGCTTTCTGTTCCTTTTTCTTCGTTTCGTTCTTCTCCCCTAAATCCCAAACATTTATCAATAAATTCTGCTTACATTGTGTTTGTATGATTCGAAACGAAGAAGTTGGCATATCATTTGAGGTAAACTTTGTTTGTCAAGAGGACCGAATATTCAAATAGTGGTAATCACTGTTACGTCTACAAATGAAAAGATATTCACCACAATAATTTATTTATATACATACATATTTGCTTTTAAGATTACAATTTAAAAGTCTTTCTTAGATTTATGATTTTGATGATATTTTATCATGAAGAAACATTGGGATCTCTATTTGACTTGCCGTAAGTGTCATGCAGATATCTGAAATAAAAATTGGAGACATTCCTGATGTCGATCTCTCTTGTCTCGGTCAAATAGACTATGGGACTTTTAGTGTGGAGGTAGTCGATCCTGTAGCTGATTATCTGGAGCTCATGGAGGTCAGCAGTTCACTATTCCACGTTTTCATAAACAGATTATTTTCCTTCACTTTTTCTGCAAATCAACATTTTTGCAAGATCTCCTGCAGAACGTATTTGATTTTCCGCTTATCAAGAGCCTTCTTTCGCGGTCAGATTTCAGGTATATTAACATTGTGCTTTGTAAATTGTAAGTGATTGTGTTTTCTGTTTATATTAGGACTTGCAGTTAGTGTTTGATGTTTGTGCGTGTTCTTTTATTACTGTGTGGCACTTTCAACTTTTATGTTTTGAAAGGTTAAAGATTTAAGTCTAACTTGATGGTGGTGTAGGCTTGATGAAATATCAAGAATAAAATATGGAACTCATGGATAATATGTTTCCTATTTAGTGTTGTTAGGAGATCTTTCTTAAATCGTATTAGAAACATTTTTACATTATAAATAATAGTGATCGTTTTTTTATTTCAAGGATACATTTTCATGATTGTGATCCATGTGATTTGCATTTTACCTATGTGCGTCTGTTATGAACAGGCCCTCTGGATCTAGTTATAGGACCCTGAACACTGAAATCTGGTTGTTGATTACTAGAATTTTGAGTTTTTCTTCCCTTATAACCTATTTTGATTATACTTTTTGGGCTCGTTAGAGAGAACCCAACGATCTCCAAGAGTTAAAAGACTCAAGAACTTTTATCAGAATTTTTCCACACCATTCTTATTTCTTAAACCAGTACTTAAAACTTACAGAAATAACTGCTTCTAAACTGGTCCTAAGTTTTAGCAGTTTGAATTATTCATAATATATAAACCTAACCAACAAGTGCCAACAACCTACACAATACATATGCATAATATTCTGCCTTATAAACCCCTGGCAGAAACTAACAACCACACTAAAACATTAATAAAATATCATAACAGAGGATTATCTAAACTTAATTCTTCTTTGATCTTCGCTGGTAAACTTTGAATGGCAGAACTTTAGCATTTGCTGACAAATCTTGGACCATAACAGTGGTTTACTTTTTGCAGGTGGTCCCAACCATATACACCAACATTAGGGGCCATACCATTGAGTCAAATCAGGTACTTAAGGCTTTCGAAGATGTAAGTTTTATTGAATTATTGCTTTTCTTTTGTTATGTGTTACATTTTGCAGCCTCTGAATGCAGTTCTCGGTAACTGAGCATTACAAGAGTTCTGAAGAGGACCATTTCCGATCCCCT